ACGGCATACTTCTCAATGCAAGTCGAATTTTATCAAAAACACTTTGTTTGCCACCTAAACTTACGTTAGGCTTTATAAAGGAAAAATGAACACGTTTTCCAACCTCATACAATCTAAGGCCATTGGGTACATTTTACGAGATAACTCTAATTTTTGAAATTGAGTGAGAATTTGCTACCGAAAGTGATTTTGAGAATGAACAAAGTAATAAAGAGAGTTTTTACTTAAAAACATCATGCTTAGATTAATTAGTTTCCGCTTATATGATCTTTGAAATTCTTGGCGTGACAGAAGCCGATTCTGGATATGTCTGAGATTGAGGAAGTTAGCAAAGTGTTTTCAACCTTGAAACCATCCTTGAAGTTAATCCCTTTCTAAGGGTGTTGGCAAATAAATTTCAACCAAATTTATGATAGATAAAATATCATCTTGTCTCCCAAACTATCACTCAAAAATCAATTCAACCCTTATTCTTTTAGTAATATCAATTTTATACTTAAACTATTCGATTTTGAATCAATTTTACCTCCACCGTCAATTGTTGTCTATAATCAAATAGAAGTTATTGATGTGGCGTCCAAACTTCATTTGAAATTTCATTTTACCCCCAAACTATTCCCAAAATATCAACTAGATCCTTGAATAAAATGAAGTTTGGGAGTCTAATTGATATCTTAGAGATTTTTTAGGGGTAAAATGAAATTTCAAACGAAATTTTAGTGTCACGTCAACAACTTTTGTTTGGTTGTAAACGGCAGCTAACGGTAGAAGTAAAATTGATCCAAAATGAATAATTTAGGTGTAAAATTGATATTACTACAAGAACAGGGGTGAATTGATTTTTGAGTGATAGTTTCGGGGCAAAATGATATTTCCTCTTTATGATAAGGTTCTAGATTTGATGGGATGAAATGATGACACTCTAGAATTTAAAGTCTTTCAACCTAGACAAGTGACACGTGGAGTCTACCAAGAAGATGACATGTTCAGTCAAGCGACAACACATTCAGAGCCTATGGTGGAAATACCATCTCTAGAAGATCTATACAATTAGTGAAATATACGATTAGGTACCATAATGTCAATGTCATTCAAGATCTTTAAGTGACACGTGGTTGTAGGACAATGTTTTCAATCAAAGGATGACATTACAAAGCCTACAACATGGAAGCTATAAAGGATGAAATCCAGAGGATGAATATAGTTAATCAAATATATGATTACGCTTAAATTCAAACGTCATTATCATAAAGTTTGAAATTCAAATTGAAGATATATCTCTTATTATGTAGATGGCTCTCTATAAATATGAGGACCATCACACAAGAGGGTTCGAAACAAAGACGAGAAGAAAATGCGAGAAAAACAAAAGCAATCAAAAAGAAGAAGAGAGAACGAGAGAATTAGCAACAAACTTTAGTACTCAACACTCAATGCGCTCAAGTGACACGTGGAGCCTACAAAGGACAAGGTGTTCAGTCAAAAGGATTACAATACGGAGCCTACAAGAAGGAAGCTGTAGAGGATGAATCCGAGGGATCAATACGATTAATTAGATATGATTACATTGTCGCACTTGGATTTTCACTTTTATTAGTTGTTGGGGAAAATCTGAGTTTTTAATAGCGACGATGGAAATATTGTTTAGTTTTATTGCCTTATTTAGACCCTTGAAATTTATTTATTTATTTATTTTTTTTGAGTCGCCACCTAACATGGAGTTTGAGGCCACTTCGAAAATAGGTTTCTAATGAGCCAATACTTTTATATTTTCTGTGGGGTCTGTTTGTTTTAATGACTCTCATTAATGGTTTGTGTGAATAAGAGATGAGTTTAGGGGTTTCTTGTTATGAGTAGGGAAGGTGTTAGGCACCCTACATTGCCTTTTCGATACTGTTTTACCTATGTTTTGCTGAAACATGTTAAGAGTGCATAAGCTTTGGTTTTTGAAATAATTTGTTTGTTAATTTGTTAATTTTATTGCTTATGGAGATGAGAATGTGTTGATTGTGAAGTTTATTAGTCTGCTTGTGGGCTTGATGGCAGTGGGTGGTTATTGGTATGAATATGCCTAATGGCAAGTGAGTGGTTATTGGTATCAATGTACCCAATCCAATGTATGGGTAATAAAGTATAATAATATATAAATTAGTAGTTAGTTTGTCAGAAGTCTAGGCAATAATGGAAAATGAGTGAGACACACTAATTAGTGCCACCACTACCCACTGCCAGTGTTGTTGTGTTTTTTTTTTTAAATAGTGGATGCCACGTCATTAGTGTTTGCTTTAGAGCACCACTTTTAGTGGTCTCTATCTTTGTTGAGGCAATAATATATGTACTATATAATATGTTACAAACAATAATATAATATTATATATTTACACATATATAGTGCTGAAAATGTAAATAAAAGACCAAATAAGTCCGAGCAGTTGTATTAACTATACATTCTTCGAGGGACGGTAGATATGGTAATATGTATATTTATATATGTATAGAGGTGCTAGAAATGTAAGTAGAGACCGAAAATGTCTGGGCAAGTGTATTTACTATACCTCTTGCTGGGGACAATTGATATAACAAAAACTATATTTCCAAATTTGTAGTGGTATTGAAATATAAATAAAGACCGAAAAAGTCCGAGTAAGTGTAATTACTATGCATCCTGCTAGGGGTGGTAGATGTAATAATAATGTATTATTTACATATGTATAGGGTACTGAAATGTAAATAAAGACTGAAAAAGTCCGTGTAGGTGTATTTACTATAGATCTTGCTAGGGACAGTAGATATAATAATATGTATATTTACATATGTATAATTATTGGAGTTATTAGTGTTAGTGTTAATATTGAGAATTCTACCTCAACATTGATATATAATGAAATAAAATGAGAATCAGACTCGTGAAATGCCAGATAATAATATTAATGCATTCTAACAAGCGAATGAAGTTTAGGAATTATACCTTGTTTTGAATTGAGTAGAGGTTCGACTTGATTTGTTTAGATAGTCTTCTGCAAGTAGGGCAGAGATTCAGCTAGGTTGTTTGGATTGATCTATACTACTTGGGTGGGGGTTTGGTTTAGATTGTTGAGGTTGACCTATACTAATGCCCTAGGAAGCATGGATAAGGATAAGGATAAGGATACGAGATACGGGTACGATACGAATACGATACTAATACGGCGATATGAAAAAAATCTAAAAGAATAGGATACGAGTTTATGGTCTTCTTTTGACATGTCATAGCCCACACTATTTTTATTCCACACTTCTAAATAGTCAAGTGAAGAATTTGAGGGGGTGGCGAGAGGTGGTTGAATGTTTTGAGGGTTATGAAGCACGGACATAGACCAGGACATGGGACACGGCAATTTTCAAAAAATGGAGATACGGATACGGCGGGGGATACGGCGAATTTTTTTTTTTAATTATATATTTTTATGTGTTATGTAGATTCATATGACATTTATCCTAAATCAAAAATGACAAACACTAACATAGTAACTTTAATTCAATAAATATAACCACTACATTTAAACAAATTAATAGATCATCCATTCACAAAAAAATCATAATAAACGATAATAAGAACTAAGACGAGAAGGGAAAAACATTCAACATCCAACAATATTCTTCACAAAAGCACTAAATAAGAGGCAACAAAAAAAAAAGTTAGCCCCGCCATGTCCCATGCCTTGTCCCGATATGGATATGCGTGTCTCCGCCGTGTCTCCTATAAAAAAATCATTAAATTAAAGGGACACGCCATCTGGCGTGTCTGGTACATGTCCCCGGCTTGTCCGTGTGTCGGACACCGCCACGGCACCGATTTTGGAGTGTCCATGCTTCATAGGTTGGGGGTGGTAGTTGGTGACTGTGAGGTGGTAGGAGGGAGTGCTAGGGTTAGGGTTTTTAGATTGATTTGGGGAACAAATTGAAAGTAAGGCCGTATTTGTCATTTATGTTGTATTTTGCTTTTAATTTAAATTATTTTCCCATACCACCTCGCACATTGTGACATGATGTCAGTTAATTTGAATGGCATTAGTAATGGTAGGGAGATAAAATGCAAAATGGCCAAAATCATATGAGGGATTTTTATTATTTTTAAACATGAGAGGGGAAGTGCTCCATGACCATATCACAATGGGTAAAATGAATTTTGGCCTAGATTTTATAAAATTACATAAGATTTAAGTATCATAGATAGATTGAGAAACTGAAGAGGGAGATACATAGAGCTTAAGAGAATTTTAATATGATTTTTGTACAATTATAATCCTTCGTATGGAAAACTAATTTTACATTGTTATTTGGAAAAAAATTCACTTTGCCCCCTTAAATTATCGCACTTGTGTGCTACAGCTGGTTGTATTTTGTGTTTTATTAAATATTTTCTAAACAATTGGTCCTGCTTTGTTGCATGATAGCTGGATATTTGTCTCTCTGTTTGTCTCTGTACTATGGGAAAAAGTGAATGAACACCATCAATTAATCACGTGTGTGCCGAAAAATGTGATATTCTGTCAAAAGATATTAAACACTTTAACGATTTAGGATAAAGTGAACTAATGTCAGTAGCTTAAGGGGATAATTGTTCAAATTGATAGTTTAAAAGGGTAAAGGAACACAACTGTGACAGTTTGAGGGGCACAAAGCTCTCAAATTCAATCTTGAAATCCATATATAAACTATTATATCTGAATTTAAGCTATTCTCCTTGAATGATTAGTGTCTAAATCCATTCATTTCAAAATCATAAATCCAAATACAACCTTATTGATTCAGAAATTACACTGGTTGATCAGTGTTCTCTAGATTCAGCATCTGTAGTTAGTAATACCATCCCCTTCAATTGATTTATGCTCCACTAATTTGCGACAAACGGGAAGAACCTTCCACTCAGCAATTAAATTAATTATTAACAAAATACTCTCCTATTGAACAATGCAATCTCCCTTCTCCATTTGAAAGTGGAACATTTTTGTATTCAGGTGTGGTGGTGAAGGCTGGAGAAAGCCAGAAGAAACCAGTACAGATGGGGCCAAAGGAAACTGGTTGGAGAGAGTGGCCAAAAGAAAGCCGTTGGAGAGAAGGGCCAAAGGAAAGAGGTCGGAGAGAGTAACCGAAAGCATTTCTTGTATGTGTCCATTACTGTTTACTAATGCATTTCATTCAGTTTCCATCTAATCGTGGTGGATTGAAACAAAGAATTTAGACATGTTCTGTTGTTTTGTTTTGAACAGATCGAGTTGGCGCTGCTGGAAATGTCAACAATTTTCATCAATGTAGCATATAGTTTTATCAGTTATGTGCTCTTCTTTTTGTACAGGTTCATGTTTGTTGATAGTAACTCGAACTTGGTACCCCTTTCTGAACAATTATCAAAACATTGATGTTTGCTTATTGACAATGGATGTTGAAGACCACTGGCAGTTAAATGTGGTTGCTGGTGTACTCTTCCTTGTCTCTGTTGTGATTCCAATAGGAAGTCATTCAGGAGAATTATTAAGTGAATTAATGCTTGGGCCATTGTTTCAATGGTAGATGCCAGGTCTGCTTGAAAACTTGTCATCCTGGTGATAGTTCTGCATTTAACAAGTTTTTGTTTTTTGTTTTTTCTTGATTGTCTATGTAGCATGGATGTCTTAGAAGGTTTCGTGGACTTTTTTTATTTATTTTTTATTTTTAAGACCAGAGAGATGGAAAGGGAATCCCAGGACTTGATATGGCCTTGGTCTGAATGCAGTTGGTTTGAATTTTACTGTGGTCCTTCATGCAACAGCTTCTGCAGGACTTGGTTGTCTGCAATATTAGCTTCTGCAGGACTTGGTCTTCTTAGATGTTGCAATTTGAATAGTTTCAGAACAAAATACATATTAGGCTTCTCTTTCTTTTACTGGGACATTCTCTACCACAGTACTATTTGATCCAATCCTGTTCACATGCATTTTAGATGGGTACATATTTTTTGAAACAATCCTGGTCCATGTGTGTAATGCCGAAAATTATTCAATATTTTCAAAGTTAGCACGGTGATATATACATTGTGGTACTTATGACGAATGAAATTACGCAAAAGAAGATGAATTGGGACCTTGTCCCTCAATCAACCGATAAAGGTAGGGCTAATCGGTTTTACTCATCCCATTATTAGTGTTCTTATTGATTCATAATATCACATAATATTAATATGCTTAGTAGTGCTTTTATTGATTTAGAAACATCATATCAACATCTTGAGCTGATAGTTCAAAAATATTGAATAATTACTCCAGTCAATATTTGCCAACATTTTTTTTCAGATTAACTTAACATGAGTAAATATCAATATTTGCTAGCAACTTTTACAAGATTGGCTCAATATGGTTTGCATTTTTTTCCCCCCCTGCCAAGTAGGATGTTAACGGAATAATAAGTTAGGTCAATACAATATTTTTTCTTTTTGATGTTTCTCCGTATGCTCTAACCTTAAATCTCCTTTTAAATTCCTAGTGGTACAACCGTTTCAGCTACATTCAAATTCGTAACATGCGATATTTTTGGGTGAGTTTATATAGGGTAGCACTATTATACAATATAAACTGTAGAAAAACAAAATTTACTACGGAAATATATGGCTCCCAATAGAGTCATGACATAATTATGGATTATCATGCATAAGGCAGTAGTCAAACTCTAATCAAACACAACAACAATATTATACTCTAATCAAACACAACAACAATATTATACGTGGAGTAGAATTTATTGTGAGATGAGATCTTATTGGTATAAAAGTTTTAAACAATAAGAGATTGTTTGAGAAACGATTTTTGGAGTTCGTAAACTACTTGTTAAGCAAACGATGAACTATTATAAATAAATTTACATCTCATGGGTAAAGGTACATTATTTTCTCTATGTAATTTGTCTATTAAATATTTTTATATGTTAAGAGGACTAACTTTGGGCATCAAAGGCCTCTAGCTTCAACGACTGGAGGTGCTTTCTGTTATAGATGGCGATCACGTGGTGGTTTTGATTATTTTCTTTGTTGGGTTTCTTCATCATGAAGAAGTATTTTATTATTTTTATTTTTTTAATGTCTGTACAATTGGTCTATGGAAACAACAAAATTTAACGGTGAAAATTTTCAAGCCGGGCATTCTTTTGATGTTGACCGTAATATACCCGACTACTGGTATTATCTTAATTTACCTCTGTGGAGAGTTTTCTTAAATAAATTTTTTCTTATTATTGGTTGTTGGGATCAATTAAATAGCTTGACTTTTGAATTCAAAAGTAATATTGTTGCAAAAGTATTAGATAACATCCAAATCAAGTTATTGGTGGTGGCGATCAAGCCATTGAAGAGTCCCTGCAGTATTATGCATGAAATATCACATTGATCTAATTCTTTTCAGTCTCATGCAGTTCCAGCTGGGCCTCAAAACCTTTAAAATGGCCACGGTACAACCATGCTCGACCCTTTGGAGCCAAGGTTCTCTCCTTGCAGCTTGGTACTTGCGCCCGTCCTTGCAGGCTTTCGGGTCTATTTTTAGGCCCAATTTTAATAATCCGAACCGTTCATATTTTATGATTTATTCAGTATATCATACCTGTAAAAAATCAAGTTGATCGGATATCAGAAATTATGTGTTTGAAAAATTGAACTAAAAATTATTTTTTAAAGAATTTAATAAACAGTTTTCCGAACATATGCTTTATGATATCGGGATCAATTAAATAGCTTGACTTTTGAATTCAAAAGTAATATTGTTGCAAAAGTATTAGATAACATCCAAATCAAGTTATTGGTGGTGGGGATCAAGCCATTGAAGAGTCCCTGCAGTATTATGCATGAAATATCACATTGATCTAATTCTTTGCAGTCTCATGCAATTCCAGCTGGGCCTCAAAACCTTTAAAATGGCCACGGTACAACCATGCTCGACCCTTTGTAGCAATTAGATCCAAAAGGCAATGTTTGTTGCAGCTTGCTGTCTCGTAACCGCATTATTTAATCAGCCACTCACCGTCAGAAATAATAGCTTGCTTGGTACGCTACGAAAATCATTTTTGAGAACTTTGCTGCAAAGGGCTTTGGATATACAACAATAGCTTCTTTGCCCACACGTCCTCTTTACGTGTCCTCCACAGCGAATCTTCCTTGGCTGAATGCTACTATTGCAATGAAGCCCGGCAACAAATTGATTCCGCAAAAAATGAAGTAAGTCGATGTCTGCGTGACTAGATAATTCCTCATACAACACGTAACGATTCATAGTTGTACAGGTGGCAAATCTAGTCCAGACTGATAAACTCGCCCAATTGTACCTATTTGAAGCCCATGTAAACCCACCTAAATCAATAAATGGGCTTAAATGGGTTTCTCATCATCAACCCAATTAAAATTGGATTTACAAGGGTTGAACATGAGTATTTAAGCCCGTCTAAATGGGCACGACTTCTACCACCCGTCCACCACCTCTTTCTCCACCATTGCAGCTCCATCACCACCATCACCACTACCTCCTCTTGTGAGTTTTGGGTTATATATTGGAGTCGTTTGTGATCATTAGAACCTGTACGGAGGGAGCGCATAACGACTTTAGGATATCGTATTTGACATGCCTCTCATAATCACACAGGTTATTTTCTGAACCTCCTTCTTGTTGGGTATACCTCCTTAGTGGAGTATGAAACCCAATTGGCTTATTAAAAATATTTAATTTGGTTTGGTGGTTGTTATAATATATTTTATATATTATATCTAATTTTTAGAGGCCCAATGAATGTTTAAAAAATTTGTTTGATGGCAACTAGGGTTTTGATAAAAAGCTCAAAATAAAACAATAGTTTATTAGTATTGTTATGCTTGCTAGAGTGCTGCCGTTGATATTGTTTCTTCGGTGTCGCAGCTGTGATTATCAATTGGGTGAGATAGTACCTTTTGGATCAAAAAGTCAAATCGGTGTGTTTGTTCTCAAAGAATCGCTTGTTGTGTTCATGGTAGTGCTGTGATTGATTATTTGGAATTAGCGGCAGCTTGTTCAAGTTGTTGTGTGGGCTGGTTTGATTTGCTATTTTGGGTTTTCTTCCTTAACGGTAGTTTGTGAGACCATTTGTGTCTCGTTCGTAATCGTTTGAAAAATCTTGGTTGATAGTGGAATCGGATTTCGGTCCTGTGGACATATCTCACATTAAGGGAACCATGTAAAAAAATTTATGTCGTTATTGATTTAATCTTTTTTTTTTTTGCATTAGTTTTTATTTCCATTGATTGATTTAGTTATGGAAAATCATCTTTTTTCCCTAACAATTGATATCAGAGCTTGCAGTTTATTTAGGTTTATTTATTTGTATAAATCAATGGAGAGGAATATGGGCCTTATGTCTCGCCTCTATGGAAGCAATTGGGTAACTTGAAAAACTAAAATGGAGGACCTATTATTTTGTAAAGATTTGTATGGACCCATTGAGGGTAATAGTGGTAAACCTGAGGGTATGAAAGATGATGAATGGAAGAGGCTTAATCAAAAAGCCGTTGATGTTATCTGTTAATGGATTAATGACAGTGTGTTTCATCATGTTACTGTTGAAACTTCGGCACATGATTTATAAAAAAAATTAGGTCTCTATGACAGAAAATCAACCACAAATAAAGCCTTTCTGTTTCGAAAGCTGGTTAATTTAAAATATAAAGATGACAACTCCATTCTGGAACATTTGAATGAAATAAAGAGTATTGTTAACCAACTTGCTTCTATGAAAATTGTTTTTAATGAGGAGTTGAAGGCTCTGATGCTACTTAGTTCTTTACTTGAAAGTTGGGAAACTTTGGTTGTGATGGTTAGTAATTTGGCGCTCGATAGAGTTGTCACAATGAGCCAAGTCACTAGTAGCTTGTTGAATAAAGAAACTAGAAGAAAATCAACAGGTTCTTCTCATTCGGAGGGATTTGTTGTGAGAGGCCAAAGCAAAACAAGGGGGAGGAGTAAGACTCCTCATGGTCATGATTAAAGTCGTGATAAATCAAGAGATGGTTCTTTTTCAAAGAAAGACATTAAGTGCCATTATTGCCATGAGAAAGGGCACATGAAGCGGGAATGCTGAAAGCTCAAGAACAAGGACAAAAGGAGTGAGAATAGTGTGGATAAGAATCAAGGAGATACAACGGTGGTTACTACTAATGGTGATCTCGTAGTCGTTTGTGAAGAGGATTATGTCAATTTTGTGGGCCAAAGAGCAATTGGGTGATTGATTTCAGTGCTTCTTTTTATGTGACTTCTCAAGTTAATTTCTTTACTACCTACACCAAAGGAGATTATGGGTGTGTTCAAATGGGTAATGAAGGTTTGTCTAAAATTATTGGCATGGGTGATGTTTGGTTAGAAACAAATTTGGGCTGCAAGTTGTTACTTAAAGATGTGAGGCATGTTCCAAACATTCGCCTCAATTTGATCTCTATCGGAAAGCTAGATGATGAAGGCTACAACAACAAATTTGGTGATGGAAAATGGAAGCTAAAAAAGAGATCTTTGGTGGTGGCTAAGTGCAAGAAGACTCACACACTTTACTCGATACAAGGA